TTGGTTTCTTTGGTGTTCGCATTTTCCATTCGTTATCACCAATTTGCTTATTGCAAGTTGGAACTTTACTACCAACAGAACAAATCGTAGGCCTTGAGCGCGAGCCTGCTGAAGCGCTAGTACTTTGCTTCAGGGATGGATGCGATGTTGTAGTAAGCGCTGGCTGTTTCTCTGACTGTGGTGTAGTGCAAATCGAGCTGGGCGTTTTAGAGTACTTCGTTTTACTGATCCGCTTGTTAAGCTCTTCGGTTCTATTCTGCCAAAGTTTACACTGGCATTGTTTACAAATGATCTTCACAAAATCGTGTTGAATCCTCTGAATTACACGAAATTGGTCTACAGATAGACCAATGCACGAAATGTGAAACTTTACACTGCATTGACTGCAGGTAATCGCATTTGTGCGATGTCCAACGACTTTGCAGCAACTACCACAAGGTGAGTACTTCGCCATTTCAAAAATAGGTACCGATTGATACGAGAAAATCAGCGAAATGAGGAAGCACAGAAGTTATGATAAACTAGTACAGGTAGTTATGACGTACTAACGCTAAATAACTAACCTGAGTGAATTACGACAACTAGAGCACAAAACGAATTTAACTATGAAAAGAACAAGAGAAACTGGCCTCATTATGAACGAGCAAAATACGAAGAGGACGGACGAGAATCAAGACAGACTAGAACGAGAGAATTACTGCAAAAAGGGTTTCAAATATATCACGGGATAATGCAGAATCACAAAGTATACCGAAATGAAAGACAACAAATTACGATATATGACACATAAAAGTTGAACAAACTGGCCTGGAGCGGAGCGATATATTTCAAACCGGCCGCCGTGCCCATCCGTCACCGGTAGCTCAGCTGGCTTGCACCAGTTGCCCTTTTTTCTTCTATGTATTGCAGCACAGTAACTGAGGGGTTTTCCACTTCTAGCTAACGTGTATAATGATGTATAATGAATTGACCCTAGTTCAGCCTGACATCGTGTGTGACAATGACTCATATCATGGTGAAACTACACGTGGTGCTTGTCACCGGACGCTTGCCTGAGTGGACTGAATGATTGGTTTATCGATCGTACGTCTTCAATGTGCCAGTGACATAGCTCCGTCAGTTTGTTCATGTGACTGGTACGTGTCGATACGCTGGACCTTTAGAATTTTATTGCTTCGGAATATTGCAACCTGAGAAAAGATTGTTGCACGCCTTTATTCGGGACACTGACGAGGTTAGTATTTGATTTGTTACTCTAATCCATTCTAGAAACAGCACCGTAGCTATTCCCAGTTTTGCTTTCTCAATCGCCCCGGGGATTTTATGAGTCGCTCGTATCTAGGAGCGAAATGTCGGTTACACTTTGCCTTTAATGTGTCAAATTTGGTTTGCAAAACGTTCTAAGTAGTTTGCAAAACATCCAACTTAAAACGAAGGGATATATATATATATATATATATATATATATATAATGGTTTCATGCTATAATGTAGATCTACCTATGTTTAGTTTAAATGTTTCCGCGATAATCCGGCAGGTGATTAGATGTTCATCAAACACCTTGAATATTTTGTTGGGAGCCGGGTGAGTGAATGCGGACAACGGTTGCTGTATTACGTGAACTATGGCGGAGGGCGTGCTAAGGAAGCGATTTGTGAGCGCACAACACACAAAAAGCAAGCTTACAACAGGGCTCGATGCATCCTTCGCAACTAGTTATTCGAATTCCTGCAGTTGTTCATTCGTTGATCTGAAGCCCCCTACGGATAACTGTGAAATCTTGTCATGATTGTCGATGAAGATGGAAAACGATTATGTAGGTCTATCTCAGGTGAATCCTATGGCCGAATGGACTCTAGCCATTATTGAACGAGTAGTTCGGATTTTTCCTAGCGCACTCGTATCGATGAGCAAGAGGGGCTGATTTCACTGTTCAAGGACGGAAAATTGGATTTCGAGATTTGGCAAACTTTGTTGCTACTGTGGCCAGGGTAGCACATAGTAGATGCGACTAGATATCGAGCCCGACCGAGCCACGAAAACAGATTGCCAAACAACTCCCACGGTTAGCTGGTAACGGAAAAAGTCATGGTATCAGAGTGCATAGCTTGTGATGATGAACATGATGTAGCATCATGCACAAAAATATTATAGATGTATGTTCCAGGCCGCTGGAAACTTATCAGAGCAAGGAGTGGATTTCACAATTGCCTTTGTGTCGGGTCACCGAGCAGTAAGCTGTGGAAACAGTAGAGGATGCAAGTTGTTTACGTGTAAGGGGCGGCATAATTCGTTGCTATATCGTGACAGAGCAACTATAACTCCCCAGAATGACTCGAGTAGCTGTAATGCCGCCAGTACAACTCCCGGCCCAGTAAGGTCGACGGAAATGTATGTTTTATTGGATAGTGTTTGAGATGTGATGCTAGTACAAGAAGACTTTTTACAGGAGGCGGGCGTAAAAGTTAGCCATACGTCCTTACCGATGCAGATTATTAGTGGCCTTACTTCCCTGAAAGCGGGTCCGGCCAATTTCTGCTTGTCTGCCTTGAGAGGCCCAAAGTCAGTCACAGTTGAACGCGAGTATTGCTTGAAGCGCTCACCAGTACGTCCGGTAGGAAGCGTTAATGCTCGGCTGACGCGTAAATGGTCACAGTAATCTGGGATCCGGAGCGATGATTTGACGGATGCAAGAATCTGAATATTGATAGGGGCACATGTATCAGAGGCACAATGGCAAGTTGAATGGCGTACTTGTAGTCGGAAGCAACAGTTTGCTGCAAAAACGCTACTCGTCAACGAGAGCGATCAGTGTTACGCTTCGGCGCATTATGTGCAAGAAGAGTTTTCGTTGGAAATAGCCCAAATCGTTGTACGACCATGGGTTTGAAAGATTCGGTTCGAGCAATCGCTCCCTTACCATAGAGGACAGGACGGCAGTCAATCGCTGGGAAATCCGTGTGACTCGTTGTAGGACACCTCGAGGTAGCTCGCCCCTGGAGAAACCGACAATAGGAAGGTCCTAGTAGGGAAGCGTCAGCCGTAAATTGCGTTATTTGAGTTGACGACTATTAAATGACGTGGCATTGCGTAAATGACACAGGGAGGCGTTAGAGGTAAGCATGGCGAGGGGATATGCAGTTTTGGTATCAAGTAAACAACTAAAGGCTAACTATACACCGGAATGGTAATTACCGCATCATGACGTTACTGATTCGAAGAAGCCAGAAAACAGTGGCATTTGATTACGGGGCAATGCACAAGGGGCTTTCCTTGAATGACCGACTGTTTCAAGGAACAAATACTACTGCAAACCTAATTAGAGTTCTAATGCATTTTTTGGTTGAAATGGTAGCGGTTCCAGTGAAATACCATCTCCCAACTGCGGACGAGTGGACGCGACATAAGACAGTACAAAGCAATTCGATACATGCTTCGGTAACTTAATTACATCTCTCCCGAGATGTTTGCATAGCCATTGCCCGCTTGACCGAGTTAGTAGCGTACGAACAGAAATCGAAAGGCCAGTCTAGTCATCGTCCGAATGCTCCTGTTTACCGAGAAACACAGAAATGGTGGCAGTATGCGACTGATATTATTGTCCCACTCCGACAGTGTTTCGACACTACAGTACACAGCACCTTTGGCAGAATCGCTGGTGAGGCGAAACACAACGTCCATTATGTAAGCTCAGATGCTAAACTGCTGTCTCAGAAGGACCCTCGGGTGCTAAACGAAAAACAAGCATTGCAACAGAGCGGAAGCTGCACGCAACCCCAGAATGCTCTAATGAAAATTTCCGCGAACGAGACGATCAATGGCTTACCGGCAAGATTTCTACTCATCGTTCGGTGGCGACGAGCCGCCCAACTGCCGCTTTGCGGAAGAGCTTGACGCCACGCTTTCCACCTGATTCTGACCGCCTTCTTCTACCGAAACGGCATTGTCCATCGGGTTCTCTTCATCAACTCCACGATGGAGTTTCATAGAGATGGTTCTCCTCCGTAGTGCCACTTGCCTAAGTGGCTTCCGGACACTCCGCTACGGGTCACAGCCGGACGTTATCTAACCAGTTGGCCAGAACAACCCGCAGTTGGTTTTTTCAAACGAATCCCGTCTTACCATATGAGATGAAATCTTCGAACTACGAGATGAAACTGTGGTCACGTCACACAAGTGGGATCCTGGAAGCCCCACAGATGCAGAGACGTATGTCGTTTTAAAGACGGTTGTCAAAGGGTGAGGTATTCAAAAGAGATATATAAAAACTGTCTGTTAGAACAAGGTGACACAAGTGAAAAGGTAGTTCCGGTTGTCAGCTCCAGGGAGGACAACTGCGAGTCTAACAGCCAAAGTGGAAAGGCTCAGACGTACTGGTGTAAATCTTTTGACCTCTCATCGTGGATGGAACGGGAGTAGGGTAGTCTTCAATCTTGCTATGTATACAGGAGTTTGCGCCGATTCATTGTGCTCTCTTTGTATAACCAGATAGTGTGTAATGTTGTAACAGGTAACTATGTGCACCCATTTTGCTGAGGATATTGTTGAACTATGTTGGAACTCCAAGATTCTAGTGTTTGTAACATAGCACCGTAGTTCAACACAGACTGTAAGTTCACGATTGTCCGGTGGTCTCGCACCAATTGGGGTTCCTTGTCGGTCGTTGAATCAATTCTCGGAGTTTGCGGATCCGTGATCAACGCGTTGCACAACTATCCTAAGCGCTTTTGACGCGCACAACAACGACCGCCTCGCAGCACCTCAAACCCTCCCAGTACTCAGGTCTTAGTAATGCGCGCGAAAACTACTTCAGTGATGTAAACACTAGAGAGGCAGTTACCTAGACAAGTAAGCCGATTGATCATTAGAAGCAGTCGTTCGGTGGTGAACCGACTCAGTTATGTGAGCGTATCGCGCCCTGCTCATGCGAGGAATACGACAAGGTGCGCACCACCGCATGTATGTCTGTTTAGTAATGCTTGTAGAGCAGATGGGCCCAGTCCAAAAAACAGTTGTCAGTCATGAAATCCAAAAATGAGGTTCGGCCACTAAACAGCCTACATTAGGTAGTAGTTCATGACAACTGGATCGCGAATCGCGTCAGAACAAGGCGTACATCGGGCATCATGGTCATGAGCATTGTGACAAATAGGAGTTGCTTGGTGGATGGGCCGTACTTGTGAGGCGATTCATCCATTCAGTGCTGCATATGGAGGTTTTCTGCAACAACAAAGATCATCGTAGGTTGTGACGAAGACGAATATCCGTTTGGGAGACAGTGACGAAAACGACTATGTGCATGACTGCTTGCAGCGAACTGAAAGTGAGTTCGCCGTATATCAGCCTAAATAAGGTGACGCAAGATAAAGTCAACATTGAGTTCGGGGTACACCAATGGTATGGCAATGGCTTTTGGAGAGGAAAATGGTTAGGAGGGAGGATTAAACGGATAGAATACGTAGTGAAAACGGCTACATGCAATGAAGTACTACACAAAGAGAATACTAAGAATGACGAGGGCGAGTTATGAGCAAATATACAAAGCGGAAGAGAAACAATCTTCTGATTTTTGACTGGGGTAATAGGAAGTAGGAAAGCAAAAGTGGTTTAAAAAGTAAAGTGATGAATGATACAATAAAAGTCAGACAACCCGGAAGAGCACAATTCGCAAAGCACAGAAAAGCACTGAGGAGTAGAGCAGTAAAAATACAAGTAGTTAAGAGGTGTTCAGAAATTATGTTTAAAAAGTGGGCAAATAGACAGGATGCCGTAGGGGCGGCGCTGATGAATGGCTGAAGAAACAGCCAAAACTCATAGAATCGGGGACGAGACCTATGGAACGATGGAGACAGTCTTAGAATGATCAGGAAATCAACGAGCAGCTGTATGGGTTGGAAAATAGGAAACGAGGATGTACCTGGATGGTGGTGGGACAATTACGACAGTCAGAACGGCGGTATTAATAATGGTAATAATAACAATATTATTAAAAGGTAGATAAAAAGGGAAAGACTGATCGGAACGGAGCCTCATCCGATGCGTAAACGAAACGAAGGTGGGAGCGTGGCAAAACAAAAGCAGTGCAGAGGGGAAATAAAATTCCTGAAGACAGTCACCGCGAGTGCGCGTGACATCCCTGAAGTGTAACATGACAAAGCCTGATAGTGAGTCACGGTACGACACACAACTACATAAATATTTAGGAAAGTGGGTGGGTGCACAAAGCAATCTTCATAGTGAAAACCTCGACGTACTGTGAAAAGAAGGGCGATAGAGATTACAGGGAAGGGGAATAAGACCACTGAAGGCTAACCGGGTTAAAAACAAGATAAATAAATAAGTTCGCTGAGAATTGGCAGTCTGTAGTTCGTAAGCAAACGTGACATACTCGTGCATGTGAACCACAAGTTCATTATGTGGCGAAGGGTCAGGTGATTAAGTGCGTCTAGTGGTCGCCTGCGGAGGTGGTGGAGGTCGGGAAGGGATACAGCTAGCAGGCTGTGAGAAGTAAGGGAAGAAATGGCGCGTGGGCTTTCGATCGCTATTCAAAGGCATACTCTGGAGAACTTCGTCCAACAACTGGAGCGGGCTGCATAAGAAAGAAAAGGGAAATGGAAGAGAAGCCTCGCACACACGGATGCGCACAATTGGGACAGGGAGGACGGAAAACAAATGTCTTTCCATAAGCCATTGTTATTTAATGATCGTTTATGAAGACATTGCGTAAAATGAAAGGAAGTGTGGAGTTCTAGGTAGGAGGGTGCATTTAATGTCGATGGGCGCCAATGAGCCCGAACGGAATAACAAGCAGATGTTTGTGGAAGAGATCAGGTTAGCTGGGTAGATTAAGGAAAAATACTAGATAGGCTGCACTGGTTAGGACGCCTGTGATGCACCCTCATACTCGAAAAGTAAAATCCTATGAGTAATGAAAACTTGGATTAATTTCGGAGATTCGTCACAACCACAGTACATCAAAAAATTACTGGGCACCCGAAAAAAACAGTTCCGTCCTTTCGGGATCCATTAATAGTGCTACTTCTATAGGCCCAGTGTGGAGCTAGAACTATCAAGCTTAGATATTCGAAGTGATAACTACATGTTAACTGATAATGTTACCGAACGATAGTGACCCAGCATAAGACGTCGCAGTTCAGGGGGCCCTCCCGTACTTTGCATTTTGAAAACGTGTACAGCGATGGAAAATGAGTGTCACGTTATATCAAATGTAGTCAGGGATGTGGTCGCTTAGCTCTCCTGGTCCAGAAATCATAACGACTAAATCGAATGTGGAGAATTACGAGTTCTAGTCCTTTATAGGTCGAAACGGCAGTCTAGTGATTTTCAGGATATGCATGGCTGTCTGCGGTGACTGAGACGAAACTTCTTAAGGGATTATAATTGTCAAAAATAAAAGGTCGAAGCACCAAAGCCACTGATTACAGGACAGCAACGTATCCAAGAAAGCGGGCCTACAGAACCCTATCGAGAGATTAGGCATTGCTCTATTCCATCTCATGGAGGGAGTTTACAGTGAGTTCCGGTATGCACTTTCGTCACATAGTCAGGTTGTTACCACATGATTTCATCCAATCTGATGCAATGGTGGTGAAAATACGCACAAAGACACTCAAGATTAAGGTGCTTCCATTTTGCAAACAACATACGATCAACAACAGTTGGTCGGTGCTCAAAGATAAGGCGGCATCGGTGAGATAGCCTCCTTGTGTCATTCATTGTCCCGCGGCATCATCAGTCATTACCCTGCAAATAACGCAGCGTCAGACAATTTAAACAAGCAATCTGACTAAGAGACGACACCGAACGCGGCACAAGTACCGAGTGCGAGCCAAAAGCTGCAAAATCTTGAGCTAAGCAAGTGGTAGAGCACGTAGACTTTAACCAGGAATCCGGGACGAACCAACAACAAACAGTTTATTTGTCAATGACGAATTTACATTGCCAAGTCAACGTCTACCCACATCTAGCCTGGCGCTATCCAGCAATCGGCAAACAAAATAAGGCTCTTCTCGGTAACCGGTAACCGTGCATGTGTACAAAGGAAAAGGCATTATTAAATATTAGTTGTTGCAACAAAAAATGAACCTGGTTATCACCACATAGTACTCAGCTGCCTATGTTATCGTTGTGGACGTGTCGGTGCTATCTGACATCAACAATGCCTTGCAAGCAACTATGATGAAACACGCTAGGCACCGCGGATTCCTAAACGGAAGGGGCCAATTCTCAGTTATATAAAGTAGGACGTCTTCAGGCCGAGGAAAACCCCATTCTGATACCACAGATGTTGTAGGTTCAAGAATGCATACGGTACATAGAAGTCTAAGTGAAAGACGCCAGGGTTGCTTATTCTAGATGTGATGAAGATCTCTTCAGTAGGATCAGTACTCCGTAATGACGTCCCACTGCCGTGCATTCGAGTTTGTAGGGGCAGCCGAAATCGTGCAGAAACGAGGACTTAGACTCGGGAGGTAGAAGGAAGTAATCCAACTTTTATCCAGTGGTCGTCACGATGAGGAGCCCAGGACATGAGCTCACAGAGCAATATTAGCAGCAGCAGATTGATGATCTGTCAGGATCGGGCCACCACAAGCCTCAACAAACTATGGACTCTCCCACCAAGATATATATATATATATATATATATATATATATATATGTATATAATATCATAAGCAAACCTGGTGTGTATTACTTAGACTGAAAGTGCTCCCACCAGGGTGTATAAAGCATATCTTCACTTGACTTGAAAGTTGTAAAAAGAGAAACGGTAGTAAGATAAATAGGCAGCTTAGATGGAAACGATTCAAAAGCATGAAATTTATGTTTGGTAAATAAACAAAGACTGGCTACCGATTGAATATAGGCTGCCCATAAAGATGGAGCCAGCTTCTTTGATAAACTAGAAAAGGACTTTAGGACGGACTTGACCTCGACATCCATCTAATTACAGTGAAATACTGAGGCGTATAAAAATTAGAGTCAGGAAGTAGAGCTTCCAAATGAATGAACACAATAAGATAAACTTACCGATGGAGCTGGATTTCGATCCAACATGGGGTTTCCTTGATGCTTCGTCTGGGGTAATCCGGACCCCACCCCTTGACGAAACTCAACCGCAACATGCATAGACGACGCAGGTCGTCCACCCCGACGTCTGCAGTAGCCAACGGTGGCATGGCACCAGCGTTGATAGCACCCTGGCTGGCCTGCAACACGTTTGGTTGGGAAGGCCCGGGTGGAAGTTGTGATAACAGTTGTGGGGGGATTTGTGATGCTCCTGCTGTAGGCGAGGGCAAGGAACCAACCACGACAGCCGCCTGATGTTCCGCAGCTAGCTGAGCGGAGTGAGCCAGCAATTTCATCTGTTCATGACATTGCCTGATATCGAAGACCTTTGTTGGTACATAAACAGAGGGCACATGCTGAGGTGAAAAGTCATAATTCACAGAAGCAAGCCGGTATGGGCTAGGTATGTTCAAGCGAATCATCAAAAGGGATCAAATAAATGAACAAAATCAGTTAGTCTCACATGCATAAACGGAAAGATGATAGCATAACGATAGTACAGAAAAGCAAGTTGACTGCAAGCGCATAGAGATGGCAGGTATTATTTCACGCCAGGGAAACACAATGATATCTATTGTGTTGTGTGCTATGTTAACCTTCAATAAGTATCGTCGTGCTAATGAAGGATGATGGTACTATAGAAGGGGAACTTATAATCACTAAACAGTAACCCTGGGTAAGCAATTTCCGTTTTGATGGAAATGGAAGACGATTTTTTGTACTGAATAAATATTATTGAATTATATAGTGTCCATTCTGGTCCAAAATCTTTTGTGATCTTTCCGGCAGTAGCACGATACCACGCTCATAAAATCATTGTTTTTGCTAGCAAATAACTGATCCATGTGATTTTTGACCTAATATATGAAGTAAAGGTTTTACCGTCAAAAGCATTTTAGAGAAACGGAAACAAATGATAATCAGATGCCAGAAAAGAAGAATATGGTGGGTATGGCAGTATATCGCTCTTGGCGAGTTACCAAACTTGTATGAGGTCTCGGATTATCTTGGTGGAACACTGCACCTTTTCTACTGATCAACTGTGGTCTTTCCTGTTTAAGTGAATTATTCAAATTTTCGGTGTACTTCAGAATTGATCGGTGTTGTCTAGTAAAAGCACAAAGAACGATATCTTTGAAATCCCACGAAACAGATAGCATCACTTTTGTGGATGGACATCGGCTTTCGAAGTATCTTGAGCATGTTCATGATTTTACTCCACGATCTCTTGCGTATAACATTGCTGTAGACAACCCATTTCCCGTCCCCAATGATGAGCTTATAAATGGATCATTTGATAGACGTCTGAAAGGCAAATCACAGACGTCAAGGCGACGGCACAAATTTCTTTCCGTAAGTAACTGCGGATAGCGTCCTCCGGTCGGTTATTTTTGGCTGTGTTGACAAGATCACTTTGTGTTAACTTTCTGCGTTCATTGGAAGTATTTCGTGGAAATTGAGCTACAATTCAGTTTCATTTCCGATTCTGAAATTT